TGTTGTGTTGAGGGGAAGGGAGCTTGTAAGCTGCTCTCAGGTAGTGAAGGGTTAGGGTATAAATCCAATCTCCTCCTCTTCTTCTTATTTAAACACAGGCACAGCCAAAGGCTCTTCTAGCACGGGAGGGGATCCTTGGGAACACAGCTGCCAGCTGAAGATCTGGCCTGAGCTTCCGCTATCCTTCCTGCTACAGGCAGAGGTCATTTCAGGGGGGATCGCGGGGGATCGCAGTTCCCCCAGGTGAGGGGCGGGGCACACGATGAAGCCCTGCCCCCTGCTTCCGGCCGCCCCGCTTCCGGCCCTCATTCAGCCAGGAGGAGGCAGGAGAAGAGGGAGGGGAAATTTGCTTCCTCCCCGCCTCTCCCCACCCCTGCCTGCCTGGGGCCAGGGAGGGCCTTGGCGGGGCTTCCTCGCACTCCCGCCAGCCTTGCAGGTCCACCGCTGGGCTCCTGATGTCAGGGGGTGTGGCATATGCTAATGAGTTATGCTAATGAGTTCCCCTAGCTCTTTTTCTACGAAACAACCCCTGGCTACAGGTATTTAAACCTTGGCACGACCAGAGATGTAAGCTAAATGGCTCCCCATCTATAGCCCACAGTGAGCTGGCCAGTGGATCTAAGACCAGCCCAGGAATTGGGAGTTGTGGACAAACAGCAAAATAAGCCTCTTCCTGTAAGCTGCTTTAAGTTCCTGGTGGAAGCAAGAAACAGGAACAGAAGCACGTGCAAGCATAAACGGACAAAAGCACCCTATTTACCTGGTGAACTGGGGGAGCTGCCGGTAATTATCGGGGATATCCAAAGGCTTGTACATAAAGTGCCGGAGGTCCGGGGCGCCGACCATCGCCACGCTGTAGGACGGGCTCTTCAGGCCGCTCGAGAGCGCCTGCAGGTAGCTCTGAGTCCTCATGCCCTCCTCGATGCGCTTCTTGCAGTCCGAAACCGAGTAGAACGACTCCTTGTCGGTGGAGAGGAGAATGAGACAGACGGTGCAGTCCGCATCCAAGTAGGAAATGTACGCGTAAAAGTAACAGTCCGGGTTGAAGCGCGGCAAGCAGATAGGCGTCCAGATCTCCCCCGTTTGGAAGGCAGAGGTCGCCCCGATGAGGTTCAGCAACAGGTGCAAGTCCGTGGGCTCCAGCCGGCAATCGTCGATGACCGTCTTCTCCTGCACGGTGGTGACCAGCTGACTGCGGGCCACTAGAATGGAGAAGACCAAATTGGGAGTGATCGCCTTCTGGAGCAGAGAACCCAGGGAATCGCGCAGAGCGGGCTGGAGGGGCAGGCAGCGCACGGCCCCGAGCAGGAAGCAAGGGTCCGACTCCACCAGGTTCAAGAGGCGGTCGAGGATCTTTTCCGAGCCGGTCAGCAGGCGCCGGAGGTCGTAGTTCTTCTTCCGCTCGAAGATGCGAGTGATGCTGGCTTGGGTGAGCATGCTGATGATCTGGTAGTAGACGTACAGCAGTTCTTGCCGCAGCTGCTGCTCCGACTGCAGGGTGCTCGACACCGACACCAGCACCAGCGGGCCCTGCTGCACAAAGACCAGCTTGCGGTCGTCTGTGGCGGGAAGCAGCGAGGAAAAGACCTGTCAGCAGGTGTCGCACACCGAGATCCCCCCCAAACAATACAATCACGTTTTCCCCATTTATGCAAGCCCCTTTAATGATAAAGAACAAGGATGTGTTTACGACATGATTGTGCAGGGGGCATGGGGAGGGACGCCGGTACGGACTGAACTACCGACCTTCCACAGCCTGCAGTTCAGCGTCTTAACCACTTGAGCCACCGCAGCTCTGTTATAGCACCACCTTAACATCCACGGACACAACTGAAGTGCAGTCGCCTCTCAGAGAAGACACACTAAGTTGTGCCAACCATGTGCTGCCATCTGACTGATTAGATTTAAACTGTTGTCATTAACTGTTTTGTAAATTGGGTTCGAATGATTCGTTTGCTTACTGTTTTAATATTGTTGTTGCTACACCTGTTGTTGCCTGCCCTGAGCCCTGGTGTGCAGGGGAGGGAAAGCCAGAAGCCGAAGATAATAAATAATAAATAAATCTCAGATGCCCAAAAAGCTGCCAGAGAAGATTTGCAGTTGTCAAATAGCGAGGCTTAAAGTGTCCAGTGTTCAATTTGCCTAGGCTAGCAAAAAAAAAAAGTTATGCCAAAGGCACGGAAAAAGATGCACTTTTCTCTTGTTTGCATGACAACGCAGAATGGGACATTTCTTGGAACAGAAATCGTACCGCCTTGGCAAAAATACAGGGAGTGATGCCAAGCCCTGGTAAGAGGCCTAACAGAAAAGGACTTTGGATTTTAGACTGAACACAACGGAGTGCCTTGTAGCACCTTAAAGTCTAATGAATTTAACTGAGGCATAAGACTATGTTATTTCAGCTCCGACCGACTAACACGGCGATGCCTCTGGAATCTACGTTTTATACGGCCCTGACCTGAATGGCCCACAAACCGTGGAAGCTAAGCAGGTCGGCCCTGGTTCATATTTGGATGGGAGACTGCCAAGTGTAGGATCACGTTGCAGAGGTAGGCGATGACAAACCATCCCTGAACGTCTCTTGCCTTGAGAACCCTAAAGGTCACCATAAGTCAGCTGTGATTTGAGGTCACTTTCTACTACTATGACCAGGGGTCATTTCCTGCAGGAGCGCACAGGAGCGGAGCTCCAGCAGTAAAGAGCCCAGGGGGCGGGCATATGCAACAGGCCACACCCCCTACTCCCAGCAGCCAACAGTCAGAGCAAGAAGCAGCCAGGTAAGTTGCAAAGCCCCCGCCCCCCCAGTCCAAAACAGTCCAGTGGCACCTTTAAGACCAAGTTTTATTCAGGTACAAGCTCTCCCTCCTCTGTGAAGACAGATCTGCACGTTCCCCCCCCACCACCACAATAGCTAGCAATCCAAAACAGTCCAGTGGAGCCTGAGCAGTGGGTGTTGCCTTCTGCCACACTTCCGGTGATGTCAGGGGGTGTGGCATATGCAAATAAGTAATGCTAATGAGTTATGCTAATGAGCTCCTGCACCTCTTTTTCTACGAAATGACCCCTGACTATGACTATCTTGTTGCACACCCCAAAGGGACTAGGCATACAGGAACAACACATCCTAACCCCTCTATTTCTTAGACACGACTTCCAACGCTTAGATTTCAGGCTTTTCCTTCCTGGGGACAGCTGTCCTTAAGACCTTCCGCTTCCTTGCAGTTATGCATGAAAGCCTGTGGCTTCTGCTAGAGCAACCTAGAAATTTCAGTGCCAACACTTATTTTTATAAACTGTTCAGGCAACTCATCGCTCTTAAAACGGTAATCCCACCTTTCCTCTAAGAGGGAAAAACCCAGGATACTCTAAAATATTGTAGAAGATGACATATTATACAAGGGCCGTGTGGTTAAAGACATTTTTAATAGGATTACCAGATATCCTATTTTTAGAGAACATGGCCTCTCTCTCTTTTTTTGGTGTCTCTCCTCTTCTGGGCTCTTTAAAAAAAAAAACAGATGAAAATTACATCTTTTGGGGCTGGAAGGTTGGGAATACTCCTAGTTAGTAGCAATTATCACAGCTTAAATCGTAGTGTTATTAAATGAGATTCAAAATGAGATTTCTCACAGTGATCACTTGTTTGAAATAGTCAGTTGGGAAATATGTCCTCTTTCTTGCTTTCCAAAATGTGGCAACCCTATTTTTAATGAAAATGTTGAACCTAAGTAATCCAAATTCTGCTGCGTGTGGAAGTTACTCAAACGTGCATAGCTATTTTTGTACTATTTGCTGTTTTACTGTGTTGAATAACTGTATTCTGGCAAGAAAAATTATTTTGCAGCTTGAGACGTGATGGCCTGGAGAAAAAAAAAAACTGGGGGTGGGTTGAAATCAACACATCCCTCCCTGTAGCCACGTCTTCCATGATTCCACTGGGAAATTTCGGAGATCAGTGAAAATGCGTACGTACTCTCTCTTTTGGAATGAGTGAATCATTTCTTACTAAGACAAAGATTTACTCAAACGTACAGCATGAAAAATGGCATTTTGGTGTAGTGTAGAAAGCCAGTTTGGTGTAGTGGTCAGAAGCACGGACTCTAATCGGGGAGAACTAGATTTGATTCCCCAATCCTCCACATGCAGCTGCTGGTGTGACCTTGGGTCAGTTACAAGTTCTTTCAGAGCTGTTCTCTCACAAGCAGTCCTCAAAAGAGCTCTCTCAGCCCCACCTACCTCACAGGGTGTCTGTTGTGGGGAGGGGAAGGGAAAGGAGATTGTAAGCCACTCTGAGACTCTTTTGGGTAGTAAAGGGTGGGGCATAAATCCAATCTCTTCTTCTTCTCCTTCATTTAAGACAAATCACCAGCATTAGAGAACAATTCTTGTGCATACTGTAGACACAAGCATGCCTGAAAATGTGCTGTGTTTTCTTGAAGCCTGAACAATTTTGACAACTATTTATATGCTATAATGCGCTTGACCACAATACATTATTAAAAATGCAATGTTTTCAACATTATTAAATTTAACGTAATGGCCAAAAATTCTGGTATCCTGTATAGGAATGCTGGCTGTCCAAGTAATACTGTAAATCAGTTTCTCAATTAAAAAATTTCCCTACTTCTCCGATGACAAAAATCATGACGAATGTGCTAAGGAAGCACAGGGTAGAAACCCTTAAATTCAATAACTATGTCAAATAAATTAAATATATGCTATAAATTACGCATGTTGCACGGTTAACCACTAAATAAAATTGACAGGAAAGCAGCTTGTATGTGCATTTCAATTTCCCCCCAATATTTCAATTTTCCCACACACAAAAAAGATTTTTGTCCATGGCTCAAAATTTCCAGAAATTTAACACCTAAACCTGCAATTCATCACCAAGCATTACCCTCACACTTTCAAACACATCTCCACAACTGCAGGTTCTAGTAGTTTGCTTTAAATGAAAGATGTGATTCTCCAAACAATAGATTTTGCAGCTTTTCCACTTTTCTACTGTTGTATGGAAATCACAACCAATGTTCCCTCTAAGCTGTGGAGTTTTGTGAGCAAAAATTCTACTTTGTGAGCTACTGGCATTAAAGTTGTGAGCGAGCAATTTGGCTGCTGCCTAAATTAGTTTGCTCTGGAGCCATTCTTCCTGAGCTGAGACAAAAATGTGTGCGCTAGAGGCTAAAAAACAGTGAGCTAGCTCACACTAACTCAGCTTAGAGGGAACACTGATCACAACATACACACAGTCCTTAGTGTAGCCCACCTCATGGCTTCATCTATTACAGGTCAGTTGTTGCCATAACTGACAAAAAAACCCCTTTCTCTAAGGCCCAAGAGTCCCAACACATTTATACACGCTACACTGCTAACCATCAATGGAAAATGCAAATGTCTAAGATGGTTAGGCATCGTTCATGGCCTGGAGAATTAGCCCAATTTAAAAGGCAGCTGAGAAATATATAAAAATGAATGATTACAGGGCATAATGCTTGAAGAAAAAAAGGTTCGGCCACGTGCAATCCCCACCACCCTGGCCCGTTCCCCAATCTTTCTACCTACCCGAATAGATGGACCGGATGGAGTTATCCCCGCTCTGGATGAACGACACCAATGCCATCATGACACCCATGGTTGAACTGAGGGCTTCCTCATTGCCGTAACGGGAATAAATGGGCTTGCCAGCTTCACTCAAGACAAAGATGTGCTTCCTGTGCGCTCGCCAACTCTCAGCTGTCACGTCCTCATCCCGGTGCGTGGGGGGGCGCGGTTGGACCGCCACCTCCTCCTCCCCCGGGGGACCGCCATCCATCACCATGGGCCGGCTGAACTCGCTGGAGTCCTCCAAAGTGTTGTCCGTGGAGGCCGAATCCGACAAGTCCTTCTCACTAGATTCCTCCCGGGTTTCAGTTAATTCCTCCTGCACGTCCCCTTTGCCACCTGCCACGCTCAAGGGTCCATTATTCTGGGCCCCAGGTAACTCCACTTGCTCATCCAAGGCAACACTGGGCTCATCTTCTCCTGGAAAAAAAGTATATATATATATATACACACACACACACACATTAAAAAACAAAAAGATTGCCAAGTGCATGAAACAACGCAAGACTCTTTAGCTAATCATTAGCCACCACAAGCCACAAGGAAACTCAAGAGCTAAATATGTTCCTCTGCTTCCTCCACTTCCATTAACTATTTGGGAAATTATTTCACTGGAGGAGGACTCAATTATTAAAGCTTCCATTACTTAAGCTGGACTCCAAGTCCAGTAGCACCTCAGAGACCGATAAGATTTTGGGGGCTTGCAGACCAACATGGCTACCCTCCGAAATGTTACTCAAAGGCTGCGTTCACGCACACGAAATAATGCACATTCAATCAACTTGCAATCAACTTGCAATCTACTGGACCTCCTAAGAACATAAGAGATGCCAATGTTGGATCAGGCCAAAGGCCCATCCAGTCCAACACTCTGTGTCACACAGTGGCCAGAAATACCAGGTGCCATCAGGAGGTCCACCAGTGGGGCCAGGACATAAGAAGCCCTCCCACTGTTGACCCCCCCCCCAAGCACCAAGAAGACAGAGCACCACTTGTCCCGGAGTCCCTATCTATACCTTGTGGCTAATAGCCACTGATGGACCTCTGCTCCATATGCCTATCTAATTCCCTTTTGAAGCCGTCCATGCTTGTAGCCGCCACCACTTCCTGATGGCACCTGGTATTTTTGGCCACTGTGTGACAGAGTGTTGGACTAGATAGGCCACTGGCCTGATTCAACATTGGCTTCTCTTATGTTCTTACTCTGGCGATCCCTGGCAAGTGGATTTTGCCATTTATACAGTAAAATCCATTTGCAAAGTGCACTGAACATGTGTTATTATTCCACACGTGTGAAAACACCTTTTAGTCATCAGCTCTCAAGGTGTACCTCACTAACCCCAAAGCCAATGCAAACCTCCTGCTGTGAAATAATAACAGTGCGATATTCTTTGATGCTCACGAGTCTTTCCCGGAACAGCTATGAGAAGCCACCTCTTTCTTCCAAACCTCTAGTCCTAAAGATAACTTTTTCTGAAGCATGGGGCTGAGCCCCCTAACTTCCCTTAAATAGTCTAATAAATAAATAAAATAAGGAGCTGCGGTGGCTCAAGTGGTTAAGACGCTGAACTGCAGGCTGTGGAAGGTCGGTAGTTCAGCAGTTCAAGACCCGAGTTGCCGCATGACGGAGTGAGCTCCCGTCTCTAGTTCCAGCTCCTGCCAACCTAGCAGTTCGAAAGCAAGAGATTGCAAGTAGATAAATAGGTACCGCTTCGGTGGGAAGGTAACAGCGTTCCGTGCGCCTTGGGGTTTAGTCATGCCGGCCACATGACCACGGAAACATCTTCGGACAGCGCTGGCTCTTTGGCTTGGAAACGGAGATGAGCACCGCAACCCTAGAATCGGACTCGACGGGCTTTCGAGCAAGGGAGACCTTTACGTTTACTTATATACCCAGGCTAATCCAATCTCAACAGACCCCAGAAGCTAAGTAGGGTCAGCCCTCTTTAGTACTTGGATGGGAGGCCACCAAGGAACTCCAGGGCTGTCACACAGAGACAGGCAATGGCAAACCACCTGTGAACGTTCCTCGACTTGAAAACCCCATGGGGTCACCATGTCAGCTGTGACTGGACGGCAAAATAGAACGTATACCTCTTGTTCTCACATACTTCCCATTATCTTTGCCTCTTCAACGCTCCCTTGAGTAGTGAAGAAGAAAAAGAACAGGAGGAAGAGGAAGAGGAGGAGGAGGAGATTGAATTTATACCCCAACCTTCACTCGGAGTCTCAGAGCGGCTGACAAACGCCTTTCCCTCCCCCTCCCCACAACAGACACCCTGTGAGGTGGGTGGGGCTGAGAGAGCTCTGAGAGAACTGCCCTTTCAAGGACAGCTCTGACAGAACTACGGCTTGCCCAAGGTCATCCAGCAGCTGCAAGTGGAGGAGTGAGGGAATCAAACCATCCTACCACCGAGGTAGTATGTCGTCGGCTGCCCTACGAAAGTGGGGCAGGTATGCCTAGGCAGAAGTCATAGACAGCATAGCGGGACGCTACTGAGATAGCTGGCCACCAAAGCTGGATGGTTATTCCAATCTTGGCTGAATGATACAGCACCGCGTTATAGGATGGGTTTTTTGGGTTAAATATTGTATTTTGTTGTATGTTTTATTGTATTTTAGATTCCGGCTTTGCCGCCTGTGAACCGCCCTGAGCCTTTGGGAGGGCGGTATAGAAATCCAATCTCTCCTTATGTATAATTGAATAGTGGGTGCCAAAGTTCTAATTCTAAAATGCACTCCCCTTAGTGTATGGCTGATGGCACTGCTCCTCAGCATATATCACCACCAATCAGAAGGCAAAGCCCGGGTCCCGCCCACGCCACAACTGCTGCGACAACCTGGTCTTTTGCATATGGAAGCTGATTGGACTTCAGTCCATTCCACACCTCAAACTCCCCCCCCCCACAAGGCAGTTGTTGGAATTTTCAGTTGCATAACATACCTCATAGGGGAGAGGAGAAGGGGTAACAATGGTTACCACTCTCCAGGTGAGGGCTACAGATAAATCAAACATACAAATGCTCTTCAGGTAGCAGAGATCAGTCCCTCTGGAGAAAACAGTGGACTCTGTCATTAAACCCTGCTGAGGTCGCCACAGGAAACTGACACTGTTTGCCCAAAGCCAGAGCACTCTCCCAGAGCCTCTTTCTAGATCCCGTTGTATTTATTTCCGCAACGGGCATTATTTCTAGTAAATAAATAAATAAATAAATAAATAAACCCGGTTCTCCCAGATTAGAGTCCGCGCACTTAACCACCAAACTGGCTTAGACAAAATGCTGGGAGCAAAGCCTTTTTTAAAACTTAAGTCAATCTGTAAAGTATCGTATCCATTGGGGCTGTGATGGGCATCCATAACTCTCTCCTTGCTTCCCCCCCCCCCCAGGAAAACAGACCACAGAATTAAAAGGGCCCATTCTCACAACGCGCAACTCCTGTAATTTATTTTTTCAGTTTATACCCCACCCTACTCCGCCAAAGTATCAAAACGCCCCAGAGGAAGGGAACGAGATCCATAGATCATTATTCCATCTTCACCTGGCCCTGGATGAGGGAACATCAATGCTTCCCTGGAGCAGACGATGCTGAACAGTTCAAATATGCCATCTCTGAAATTTCATGTAGAACACCTAGAGCACTTTAGTCAGTAACTCGTTATGAATGTTTTGTACTGTTGGATTTTAAATGGTTTTAATTATGTTTTATATTGGCGTTTGCCCCTATGTAAGCCGCCCTGAGCCCGCATTGCGGGGAGGGCGGGGTATAAATTGAATTAAATAAATAAATAAATAGATGCTTCCAAGCCACTCACCTGTGTCCATAGAACCCGGGCTAATCTTCTGCTCAGGTAGATCCACCCCATCCTGCGGGAGGTCCATCCCTCCCTTAGGGGGTAACCCAGGGTCTTCTGCCTCCATCTCTACATCTCGGAGGGAACCTGCAAAGGCAAAAGGCAAGCATGAGAAAACGGTGTTTATTTTTTTTTAATTAAGAAAGCAGGATATAGATGCTGTGCCACCCACTCACCAGACCCAATGCCTGTTGTCAAACCAGAATTTAGTCCACTGATCCTAACACGCCTTAAGACCCTTACACTCAACGGTAAGCAGGGCAAATAACCTAATGCTCCATTTCAGAAGCTGAAAGCGCTATTGCGGGGGGGGGGGGACAAGGGGCCCAGCCAGTTTCTAGCCCTCCAGTGGCGGCCGGGGGAGAGGGGGGAGCTTTTACAGAACGCACAACAGACTCGCCTACTCTCTGAGCTTTAATCTCGGTCACATGCCCAGGCAGGGATGCCTCAGAGGAGACAGCAGGAAATGCCCTGGTTACTAATCACGATCACACTCTCTTCCACACCCACACAGCTTAGTCCCAAGAGGATGAAACTAGAAAAATGGGCTGTCCCTGGGATCTTTAGAGGGAGGGGCCTAAGGCAGGATGCTCTCTGCTTTTAAGTTGGGACACAACAGCGGCAACCAGCACACCTTTCCCTGTGCACGCATGTTTTGAAAGGGGATGGGGTGTGACTGTAAGATCAGATGCAACGGACGATAGGGCTCTTTAACAGTTGTCAGGCGAAGTTCATCAGTCAGTGGCAAGTAAACTGTGCCTTCTTCTGCACAGCTGTTAAGGCACGACGGCCGTGTCTTCACTTTGCCTCTAGTCACAGTACAGCAGGGCGAAGGAAGGAGGCAGGCTGACATAATAAAAAGTAGTTAAGCGAGCTCCATGTCGCAGGCTAAGTTTCACGTGTGATTCATTTCTGAAGAGGCTGGCAACTGTTGATCCGAGGGGGGGAGCAGATGTAACGTTGTTAGAGCAGCGGGGACGATTTGGAAGCACTGGCACTGTGATCAGTCCAAGGGCAACTTTTCTCTCTAAGGCCGAAGTCCTGCAAGCCTGCTGCCACAGAAGCAGGCTAAGCACAGCAGCGATTGGCTGGCACCCATGCCGTCACCAACCTGTCACACAAACACCGTGCCGACAGGACATCTGCACTTTTAAAAGGTTTTCTTTTAAAAAACAGATGAGTGGAATGCAAGACTTTTTTTTTTAAGGACCTGAAACATGTTGGGAGAGGCAAGACTCTTGGCCAGCATTTGATCCACTGCTACACTCTTCTAAACTTCAGTTACAAAGCCAGGAAGAACCTTAAGCACCCGACACTGCTCAGGGACCATCACCAACTCTATTTTTTCTACTATAACTGTTTCTACTCATTTGATCATGTAAACAGCCACTTGCCTGGCTGTCTTTGTTAAGTCAGAAATGCTTCCAGGGGACCAGGCAGGGAAACGTCTGATAAACAGAGATGACAGGCGATGTGCCACACAGAAGTTAAGCCATCCATGTGTCACAAATCACTAAAATTAGTATACCTGGAAAGACGGTCTTGTAAAATCACATGAGGGCTAGTAACTTTTTCAAGCTTATTTAAAAAGCTGATTTACAAGATCCAGGTTTACTAGACCTGGATAGCCCAGGCCAGTCCGATCTCATCAGATCTCAGAAGCTAAGCACTGTTTGGAGTCCCGTTGCCAGAGCGACGCGTAGCGTCACATCCTGGCGACGGCAGGTGCACTGCATATCGCCGTCCCCCGCGGCAGGGATCCTGTAAAGAGCTGCAGATCCCCCGCCGACATTTGGTAAACCTAAACCACCTCTGAACATCTCTCGCCTTGAAAACCTTATGGAGTCACCACGAGTTGACTACAATTTGACAGCCCAACCAAAAAGCTTCAGTACTTTTAAATTTCCTTTTCCCCTTTCCTGTTGTGATGCCAGCCAAGCAGCTGCCTAGGCACCTGCCTATCTGTGGCAGGGCTGCATTTTAGAATTGCTGAAGCCATCTCTGAAGACTGGCGGTCCGCTTTATGCTCCTCAAGCCAGAAGGATGTTCCATGGGCTACCAATTACATCCAAGATCATTTCGCAAGCTGTCCCTTGCACCTATTTATTTTGTTTGTATCCCGCCCTCCCCACCATGGCGGGCTCAGGGCGGCTTACAGAATATATATGCATCTATTAAAACAACAAGATATGTTAAAACACAGAAAACTGAGTTAAAATCCCAACATATAAAATTTAGGTATTCAGGAACATAAGCATCAATAAACAAAGTATTAATAAAAGATGGCAGCGTCCTCTCAGCATCCAGCATCTCTCAGCAACTTCCGCAATAATCTGGGTTCTTGCCTGACTGTTAGTTATTGAGTTAGTACTGATGTCGGGGCCAGGGCCACGAGGTTGAAAGGTGGCTCCTAATCAAAAGCCTGGTGGAAGAGCTCCATTTCACAGGCCCTGTGGAACTGCATTAACAGAAGCATTGTGTCCTGATCACGGGAGGTGGTCGTTCCGCTCTATTCTGCGATGGTCAGGCCTCACCTGGAGGACTGTGTCCAGTTTTGGGCACCACATTTTAGGAAGGATGTTGACAAGCTCGAGTGTGTCCAGAAGAGGGCAACCAGGATGGTGAGAGAGTTGGAATCCATGTCTTATGAGGAAAGGCTGAAAGAGTTGGCTATGTTTAGCCTGGGAAAGAGAAGACTTAGAGGGGACATGATTGCAGTCTTCAAGTATCTGAAGGGCTGTCATGTAGAAGATGGAGCAGATCTATTCTCTCTTGCTCCGGATTGCAAGACTAGATCCAATGGGTGGAAATTACAAGGGAGTCGTTACCAGCTAAATATCAGGAGAAACTTCCTAACTGTAAGAGTGGTTGAGCAGTGGAACAGTCTGCCTCAGGAGGTGGGGGATGCTCCTTCGCTGGACATTTTCAAGCGGAGGCTGGATGACCATCTTTCGGGTATGTTGTAGGGCTATCTTTCGGCTACGCTCCTGCAGAGTGCAGGGGGTTGGACTAGATGACCTGCACGGTCCCTTCCAACTCTAACATTCTATGATTCTAAGGTCCCGCAGGGCCCTGATGTCATCCAGGAGCTCATTCCACCAGTAAGTCTCCCCCAGCAGTAAATGGCTACAACACAATCCTGCCTGTTGCTCTTAAGCCTTGACGTTCCAGAGAAAAGTACCCCGCCCCCAAATGATATTAGAAGGCTATTCCTGGACCAAGTTTCTTATTGCTGACAACCACAAGACTGCTTGAAGTCAAGTTGTAGAGTAGGAAGAAGATGGCTGTCACAAAAGCAAAGTTTAAGAACTTATTTATTGGATGCATAGAATCTTTTTTATCTTTTCTTTTCCACGCTGATGTTCATTCCTGTCAGTAGCACACAGATGAACAAGCCAAAAAAAAAATCAATTGGCAGTACGTTCAGTTCTTATAGCACAAGGGAAAGCATTACCACGACTCACAGTGGTAAGCAATGATTCCCATAGACATACCAAGCGACATTCTGTCATCCTGGGTACGAACTCCAGGAAGGGCAGCTTCAGGCAAAACGTCTTTCCCAACAAGAAATCACTAAGCAAGAGGAGTCAAGCCAAACAACTCTTACCACCCTTCCAGCAAGCTTGTGTACAAAGGTAAAGGTTCCCTTGCTCGAAAGCCAGTCGAATCCGACTCTAGGGATGCGGTGCTCATCTCCGTTTCCAAGCCGAAGAGCCAGCGCTGTCCGAAGACGTTTCCGTGGTCATGTGGCCGGCATGACTAAACACCGAGGCGCACGGAACGCTGTTACCTTCCCGCCAAAGTGGTACCTATTTATCTACTTGCAATTTCTTGCCTTCGAACTGCTAGGTTGGCAGGAGCTGGAACTAGAGACGGGAGCTCACTCCATCATGCGGCACCCAGGTCTCGAACTGCTGAACTACCGACCTTCCACAGCCTGCAGTTCAGCGTCTTAACCACTTGAGCCACCGCAGCTCCCAAGCTTGTGTAGATTGAGGCAAAAATCATATATATCTTTTTCAGAACCTAATGCCACTCGACACTCACAAGTCCCAGAGAAGACTGTTCAAAACTCCCTTGAACGGCATGAAGAACAATTCAACAGTGGGCAAGCAGCTTTACCGGTTAAGAACATAAGAGAAGCATGTTGGGTCAGGCTAATGGCCCATCCAGTTCAACACTCTGTGTCACACAGTGAGCAAAACCCAGGTGCCACTGGGAGGTCCACCCCCTGACAGACAGCAGAGGACTGACATATGGTATACCATCAAACTTACTTTTCGTACACATGCGTCCATTCTGATACAAAATGCCACACATGTTCCATAACACAGCAGTGACTGGGCCCGTGTAGTATTTTCCCATGCCAATACAATGCCATGCTTCAACATCTCTCTCCCACAAAACAAAAAAGCCAACCATACACAGCCATCACCAATTGACAAATTACTTCTGTTGACTAACTTAAAGTCACATTTACACACATTGGGGGATAACCCCTGGTCTTCAGCCCATGGAGCAGGACCCTCAGGTGGGTCACAGGGCCACACCTGTTGAGTGGCAAGCCTCTATATTGGCCCTACTAGCAGTACTACTGCACATGCACAGCAATAGAGGATGATACACCTGCTTCTCCTTGCATGTGCAGAAAGCGAAGTCATAGGACAAGAGACCACTCAGCGCTGCAGAGAATTCCTTTTCAGCATAACCAGGGCTCCACCTCTTCCTGTCACATGGCACTGATGTCACCTGTGATGCCATGCTGACACCTGATGATGTGGGTTCTGGGTCTAGAACAGCAAAAGGTCTTTTCCTGAATACCAGTCAGAGGACCCAAATGGAAGTTACTGAACCGACACATCCTAGTAGCTCACAAAGCACAGAGTAGCAGCTGCATCCGGGCTACAGTCAATTCTACTTTTAACTTCCAAGAACAGACCTGTTCTTACTCAACACCTCTCCCCTCTCGGAACCTGGGATGCAATCAACCAATGCTATTGTTTGACATCAAGTTTCAGGCCTGCCAAAAAGGAAAGCATTTCTTCACCCAACTCCCTCATCGTTCCATCCGTCACGTCCACCACTGAAAGATTCTCCATTGACAGCAGTCAAACCCCAACACTCCACTCTTCCACCAAGAGCAATCTTCCTTACTCCATGGAGTAGCCTGTGCCAGCCCACTGCAGCCAAAGTGAACATGAACCGGATGGAACCTTACAGACTAACACTTTATTTAAACATAAACTCTGTTTTAACATATGCCAGGAGGATTTTGTACCAAATGGGTATTCCCTTAGTCAACAGAAAAGCAGGATCAAGATCTAAGGTCCTCTCCTCCATCCCCAGCAAGTAGCCCTTTAACTTTCTAAGCAGTCCAATCCATAAGGTACATTTTACCAGCCGCTAAATAAAACAGGAATCCTCGCTGGCACCGTCAAGACAACTTCAGTCTCTAAAAGGCGCTGCGGGACTGCTGATCTTTAAGGCGTTCCTGGATTCCTGCTTCATTTTGCTGCTACAGACAGAGCTACCCATCTGGAATACTTATCACGGGCTGGGGTGTTTTTTTTTTGCCACGATGACTAAATTCAATTTCCATGCTGCAGAGGAAACACACCCGATGCTCGGGGCAAACAAGGGGAAGGCCGTGCTCCCGACAGCACCCACCTGGCCGCTGCGGGAAACAGAAATGCGGGATGAAGCAAACCCGCGTCGGGCCCAGGAAGGCAATTCACACGTTCTTTGTAGTCCCGCGTGAATCCTAGCCCAGCCCGAAAGAAAACACCTGAGGCCAGGTAAGAAGAGACGTTCCCCCCCGCTTGCTAACTGCCCGTCTTTTCGGGGGGGGGTCCCCGATGTTCCCGCCCACTCCTCCCTCCAGGTCCCCGCGTCGGTCCCTCTCCCACCTTCGGCACGGAAGCTCCTCGCCTCCGCATCGCAGCGCCGACTCCTCCAGACACACTTCCTGACCCGAAGTGGCAGGGGGTGAGTCCCAAAGGAAAACGGACACGCGCTTTATCCAATCCCAGAGCGAGCGGCGACGAGGGAGGCGTGGTTCGGGCCGCACGGAACGCGAATAGCGGCGCGCCCAGCTGGAGCGTTGGAGCCGACAGCCAATAGCCTTCCTCGCTGGATCGTAACGTAAATTAAAAGAAGAAGGGGAAAAAGCCGGGGGAGAGCAACGGCAGGATTGGGCGAATCAGAATGCAAGAGGCGGGACAAACAGGCCCGGCTGAAAACGTCACGCATCAATCAATGTGAAGGAAGGGCGGGAGTCTTCGGAAGTCCGGCCAATCATTGAAAAGGATTTTTCCGCCCCGGGTACCAATCAGAGGGCATGAATGGCTTCGGGAAGCCAACAGGTGGGTGAAGCTAGGGCTATGACGTCATCGCTCGTCCGTAGAATAAAATCCGAGTGACATCATCCGCTTTGACAGGGCGGCAGGTGCGCATGCGGTTGTGATAGCCCTTGACGTGAGAGTCGCTTAATACCTCGATCTGGAACTACCGAGGATACTGTTTTTTGATAGTATGATATTTTTGTATATCTTGAGAATTATATTATATTATATTATTAATTACTGTTTTGCTTTCCGCTGCGACATGGGATCGGCAGCATCAGCACGCCGCATCGCTGCTGCAACGCGTGTAACTGTTGCTGGGCTGCCAAACACTCCCAGCACCGAGGAAGCCCGGCCACGTATAGGATAGAATGCAAACAAATAGCAGTTTCCTCTTCACGTCTTGGAATTGGGTTCAAGGAAAGGGCAGGTGAACTGCAGGAGTAGCCTGGATTCTGGAACAGAATTTGGTTCCGAGTGCTTTATTCTCCATTTCCACTCAAGCAGTGCTGCTCCCCAAAACTGCTTTGTCCACCCCGGACCAAACGTCCCCGACGCTGGCAACTGTTACCCTAGCGTTGCCAACCACCAGGTGGTGGCTGGAGATCTCCTGCGATTATAACTGATCTCCAAACAACAGAGATCAGTTTCCTTGGAGAAAAAGGGCATTTTGGAAGGTGGGCTCTATGGCATTGTACCCCATTGAAGTCCGTCCCCAAACACCCCCCCTCAGGCTCCACCCCCAGAACCTCCAGGTGTTTCCCAACCCAGAGCTGGCAACCCTACTGAAAGGGTCAAATTACATTTAGGGGTGTGGGTGTTTGTGTAAAGTGCCATTAAGTTGTAGCTTATTTATGGCATCCCCAGCAAGGGGCTTTCAAGGCAAGCGAGAAGCAGAAGTGGTTTGCCATCACCTTCCTTTGTAGAGGCTTCCTTGGTGGTCTCTCTTGACCCTGCTTATCTGCCAAAATCTGGTGAGCCCAGGCTGTACCACACCGCCTTCACCACCACACCACCCCTATTTGGAAGTACTGACCACTGAAGTCAGGCTTTGGCGCTGGGAACACTGTACTTCCCTTGGCACAGAGTCTGATGAGAAGCGGAAGAATCATAGAATGATAGAGATGGAAGGGACCTTGCAGGTCATCTAGTCCAACCCCCTGCGCTCTGCAGGAGCATAGCCGAAAGATAGCCCTACAACATACCCAAAAGATGGTCGTCCAGCCTCTTCTCGAAAACGTCCAGCGAAGGAGCATCCACCACCTCCCGAGGCAGTCTGTTCCACTGCTCAACCACTCTCCACTGTCCAAAGGAGTCTCAGAGCAACTTACAATCGCCTTCCCTTCCTCTGCCCACAACAGGTGCATTGTGAGGCAGGTGGGGCTGAGAGAATTCCGAGAGAGCTGTGACTGACCCGAGGTCACCCAGCTGGCTTCATGTGGAGGAGGAGTGGGGAAATCAAACCTGCTTCTTCAGATTAGAGTCTACTGCTCTTAACCAAGCGGGCTAGGGAGGGAAGAACATCTTGTTTCGGGGATACATCATCGATATTTGTGGTTGGACTGGGAAAATAATACTGCAGGGGGGAAGTGCCATCAGGTTGCAGCCAAGTTACGGCAATGCCAAAGGGTTTTGAAGTAGAGTTGCCGCCTCGAGGTTTGGCATTACCTGGAGATTGGGACCCGCAGGATATAATGCCATAGAGTCCACCTGCCAAAGAACCCATTTTCTCCGGGAGTAGTGAAATAAATGGTTTTAATAATGTTTTTAATAAACAAATAAGCCATCTATGGAAATAAGCCGTCTGGAGGCTGCCAACTCTTGTTTTCAAGGCAAGAGACAACTAGAGGTGCTTTGCCATTGCCTGCCTCTGCATAAGAACCCTTATCTTCCTTGGTCGCCTCCCATCCAAGTACTAACTGGGGCCAGCCCTTCTTATGTTTGGGACAAGCTGTGCTTACTGCTGATTGGGTGTGCAAGGGAATTCCCCCTTTGGTACTTTTGAACCGTCCTCAGATTGGAGAAGGGGGATTTCCAGGTCTGGCAAGCACAGGCAAGCAGGCAGGCATGGATGGGAATGGGGAGTCAAAATAGCCATGGAGCGCCCTGACCTAGATAGCCCAGGCAAGCCCAGTCTTGTCAGACCTCGGAAGCTAAGCAGGGCCGAACCTGGCAAGTACTTGGATGGGAGACCTCCAAGCAATACCAGGGCCGGGATGCAGAGGCAGGCAATAGCAGGCCACCTCTCTGAAACGTCCGAGCCCCACTAGAGGTCGGCAGAAGTCAACCATGACTTCCAGGTACACACACACACACAAGATACAAAAAAAAATAGCCATGGTGCAAGATGGGCTGAGTGGGCCCTGCAATGTTAAGCAGACCCACTAAGGCTGGTCTCTCTTTGTTTGAGCCAGTTTGGTGTAGTGGTTAAGTGCGCGGACTCTAATCTGGGAGAACCGGGTTGGATTCCCCACTCCTCCACTTGCACCTGCTGGATGATCTTGGGCAAGCCATAGTTCTGTCAGAGCTGTCCTTGAAAAAGAGCAGTTTCTGTCAGAGATCTCTCAGCCCCACCCAACTCACAGGGTGTCTGTTGTGGGGAGGGGAAGGGAAAGGAGTTTGTAAGCCGCTCTGAGACTCCTTTGGGTAGTGAAGGGCCGGGTATAAATCCAATCTCTTCTTCTTCTTTTACCTCACGGGGTGTCTGTTGTGGGGAGGGGGAGAGAAAGGAATTTGTAAGCCGCTCTGAGACTGCCTTGAGTAGTGAAGGGTGGGATATAAATCCAATCTCCTCCTCCTCCTCTTCCTCTTCTTCCTCTTCTTCTTTGTTTCTGGAGACCAGCAGCCCTCCAGGAACTTTCCCTGGCATTCATATTGGTCAGGTTCCTTCCAAAACAGTTGTAGGGTCACTGGCTCTGGACTGGGAAATACCTGGAGACTTGGGGGGAGGGTTGGAGATGGGGGGGGTTGGAGCCTGCGGAGGGGAAGGTTTGGGGAGGGAAGGGACCTCCGTGGGGTACGATGCCCGTACAATGCCACAGAGTCCACCCTCCGAAGCAGCCATTTTCTCCCGGGGAACTGATCCCTGTCGTCTGGAGCTCAATTGTAATAGCGGGAGATCTCTCAGCCCCATCTGAAGGTTTTCCAACCCTAAGTATCAGTTCTCAAAAATGTGAAACCAGTGCCACACTCAGTGCCAAACTCAGTGTCGCGGCACTTATTACCCAAGCTCCACAAGATTCAGCCAGTACCCCATTCCAGGGCTATTTTTTGAGCAAGAATGCACAGGAATGGAGTTCTGGCTGGCTCCTGAGTTGGCCACGCCCAGCAGGAACTCATTAGCATAATAGGCCACACCCAACAGCAGAAACTCATTAGGATTGGCTACATTAGGGGTGTGTGGCCTAACATGCAAAGGAGTTCCTGCTACAAAAAAGCCCTGGGTTTTGACAACAAACAAGGTAAACAGAATAACAAGCAAAAGGTGGGTGTGGCTGGATAACCACACTTCTGGTAACATGGGGGTGCGGCCTAATGTGCTAATGAGCAGTGCTGTCAGGGGTGTGGTCTAATGTGCTAATGAGTTTCTGCTGTTGGGTGTGGCCTATTATGCTAATGAGTTCCTGCTGGCTTTTTCTACAAAAAGAGCCCTGCCCACCCCCATGTGTGTTGTTTACATCCCAGGTGCTTGGAAGACCTCCCTGCTTCTTATCTTGTGTATTCATTCATTTCATCGCCTCCCGGTAAGGTCAAAGCACCTTCCACTTGGTTTCCAGGTAGTCTCCCTGTCTGAGCAGCTCACAGCTAGCTCCCTTGTTGTGTGTGTTGTTGAACCATCCTGTGGATTCGCAATCAAGCTCCAGTGGGCTAACTCGGGAACGCCAATGCTGAAAGGGTCCTTTGGAGGAAGAGGAATTAACTTTGGGGGGAGTCATCTGCCTTACGGTTGCCAGTCTCCGGGTGGGGCCTGAAGATCTCCCAGAATCACAACTGCTGTCGAGACGACAGAGATCAGTTCCCCACCAAACTTAACGTATTTCCTGAGAAAATAATATAATCAATAACTCTCCTCTCACCAGGGCAATAAGTAAACTCTGCCGGATAATCGGTAGGGTCTGAGCCATTGAGAATATGACAATTCCATTTACCATTTGTAACAACCTGTAACCGGCAGAATTAAACTTAAGAACTACCCTATGGGAAAAGTTGAAATCCTCTACAATAGATAGGTGCCTATCGTTTCTATTGAGAGCTCTCCATAAAAATGCTTTTATTAGGATACAATGTAATCCAGAAGGTCATCTAACAAAGATGATTAGTTCAGACAGAGGAGTTAAACAAGGATGTATTTTGGTGCCACTTTTATTTAACAATGACATGGTTCAGTTTTTGCACAGACTTGAATTCCACCCTCCAAAGCTTGCAGACAGACACATTCTGATATCACTTTATGCAGATGATGCAGTTTTGCTTTCTAGGACCCCTAAGAGTCTTAAGAGAGCTCTGTGTGCTCTCTCGCAATACTGTGGTCAAACCTGCTTGGAGATAAATTACACAAAGACCAAAATAACAAGCCTAGGGTGTTTAATTGGTTTATTGACTCTTGTCCCATTAAGCAAGTTTGTTGTTATAGATA